ATTCCCCCTGAATTAGCTGGCAAATTATCCCCTGGGATATTACCCAATAAAAAGAAGAAGAAGATATGAGGTTAGTACACATAAAATCGACAGCTAACATTGCCTTCTAACTTACGGAAATTGCGTCAAACCTGATTCCGACGTTGCCTATGTGTGCGCCGTAGATTTAAGTAAAAATAGATTTAAAAGATAATTAATTTAACTCATATATTGAAATTATTAAAATTAAGGATTATTGGGAGTAATTTCTCTAAACCGATGAGGTGGAAATAACTCCTTCTGCAGTACTGCTACCTGCAAGATATGAAAATAGATGGCGAAGGAATACGCGAGATTATGAAAAAAGAATCCTCCTTTATAAAGAGTAAGAAAACAATATCCTTGCTGACCAAAAAAGAAAAGAAGAATCCGATAGTGATAACGTGGTTGTTACAAACTTTACTAAGAGAAATGGATAAAGAAAAATAAGAAAAAAAATAAAAGATATGAAGAAGAGATAACAGAATTTAAAAAAAATCAGAGGCTAAAATAAAAGATAATTAGAAAATACAAATCAACGTCTATCATAGTCTAACATAATCAACTAGATTAAAGATTGATACTGATAAAGAGAAAATAAAAGACAATATGACAAATTTTATAGGAATACATCTAAATTAGGAAATAAATGTAAAAAGTCCAATAAAACTAAGGCAGAAAACTGATTTGCCATAAATAAGAAACATGTGGAAAAAAAATATACAAAAAAGAGTTAGGTTCAAAAGTTAAAGGGGGACGAGGTATTTATAAATGATGATATACCAACTAAAGAAAGAGAAATAAAAAAGTCATAAATGAGAAACGTGAAAAACTCAGAGAAAACGGTAAAAGAAGGTGTTAGATCATAGTAAACGGAGAGAACAAGGCATTTTTAAAAATATTGGAATACAAAAAAGGGGAAGTAGCGGAGAATGAAGAGAAGTCGGAAAAATGGGGACAATTTGAGGCAAAAATCAGGAATATGACAAAGAAAAAACTGACAAAAATAAAATAATTAGAAGATGGAAACAAACACTTTGAAGAACTAATAATAGACAAACCAGACAAAATTAATGAAGAACAAAATATAAGATTAAAAGAGAACATAGAAAACTTAATAAAAGAAGAAGAACTAAAAGAAGTAATAAAAAAACAATGAAGTATGGAGAAGCTCCTGGAGTGGGTAAAATAACAGCAGAAATTATAAAAAAAAACATGGGAAAAAGTGGAAAACAAATATTACTAAAAATAATGAATAAAATATTAAAAATTAAGATATCTCAGAAGATTGGAAAGTGTCACTAATAGTACTCATGTTAAAAAAATGTGATAGGAGAAAATGTAATAACTACCGAGGATTGACGTTGCTATGTACGTGTATGAAATTCTTAAAAAAAAAGTGGTACAGTAAGCGATACTGGAAACTAGCGCGAAGTTTCGTATGATGTTTTCTGTATTTTTAAAATTTAAACAATGTTTTTAAAATTAAATGAAGTAAATTTATTATTTACTAATTATTTTTTCTAATTAATTCTGCAGTACTTTTAATTAGTCCATCTTCCCCAAAACCACATAATATAAAATACAGTTCTGACGGGTACTTGCAGTCGTTTAAAACAATATACCGATGCATATGGGATACATCTTCTTACTTTTTGTCTATCAGACGTAAGATGTTCTTTTATTAATTTTAATTAATTAATTAATTTTACAAATATTAGATTATTTCCGCATCGTTTATGTAATATTTGTTACATCAAAAAATATTAAACATTTCAAAACTCAAAGTAACAAATTATGGTCAGTTTTGACATTTTGTATACGTAACGGCCACCCACTCGTTAGGTAAATAAATGCACCCTTTCGCTGTTTGTATAAATATACAAATATTTTGCTAATAACTGTTTTTATCGTATTTTAATACAATAGTAGAACTGATAATTGCAAAAATTCAACATTAAAGTTATATGAAATTATGAAAATATAAATAAATATCCTCTGATAGTAAATTTAATTTATAAAAACTATGTTTGACGTTGAAACAAAACCGCAAAGAATGAAAGAAATTTGTTAACAAGACAACAACTCACACCATCATATGGTAGAAAGGTTTTTTGAGTATATATATATATATATATATATAATATATATATAATATATATATATATATATATATATATATATATAATATATAATGTATATAGATATATATATATATATATATATAATATATATATATATATATATATATATACAGCAGGGTGCAAGCATGCCTGGATTAGTCCTGTCTCTCAGATAAGACTGGCTGGCTAGCCACACTGTAGTGCTCCATCCTCCCAGTAGTCCTATGTTGCTACACGAGCACCTGCTTATTATCCCTTCGTGAGAGAAGCGGTAAACGCAGGTAGGAATAAGGTCCCGATTTCGTACGTTGGACAGGTAACCGCTGAGCACGCCACTCCTCTACCACTTATCTCCAAAGTGCGACACGTCTTGCAAGTAGACATGAAGCTTGGGACTAGACTTATATTACATTGCAGTACTCCGGACAGAAGTGAAGTGAAATGAGGGTAGAGTGGTCTCACGTCAGCTCGTCGCGCATTATAAGTGCACAGACCCGTGACCAGTGCAACTTATGATCTCGTATCACTTCTAGCAGTTTCCATCCGACTACCTCAAATGACGGTCTCGTTACTGTATCTACACTTATTAAAGTACGACTGATCGCGCCTGCGTGCTTTTCTGCTGTCTCGACTCCTCGCCACCTCTTCTTTTATATAATTCGTTGGCTCTTACGTCAGGTAGAGATATAGGACCCTGACAGTGTTCTCTTCGTCCGTTCGCTCAGCAAGGGAAGCTATCTTGGATTGGCTGCTACTAGACAGCCGAAGTAATTACTCCACTACTTTTCAAGCATAAATTCATGCTATACAGATATGCTCTCCATTAACTCCAAGTTAGTTTGAAACTTCGAATCGGAAAGAGTACCAAAGCAAATGTATCCTGGGTGACTGGTGATACTGGTATTAAAGGTAAAGAACAAGCGGATCTATTTGACAGGAAGGGGACAAAAGAAACATTTATAGGCCCAGAACCAGTTGATGAAATACCAAGAAGCACAGCTAAAAGAACGTTATCGAACTGGATAAAACACATGCAATGTAATTACTGGTACAAACAAATAGGTTTTAAATATTCACAGGCTTTTTTACATTAACCTTCGAAGAAGAAATTTACAGATCTCTTAGATATAAATAGAAATTATCTGTGAATTATCGTGTGTCTCCTAACAAGATACTGTTGTCGCAAGGAGCTCATGAATAAAATCGGACTGACATAACGTGCGTATTAAAAATTTTATCACGCTGAAGAAGAGACCGAGCAATATTCTCTCTGAAACTACTGTCCAGAGTTGTAGAGGATGAACTTAATACGTTTTAGCATCATTATCTCGATCTCGACGACGTCGTAGAAGTGTCACAAAGACCATAATCTTCTTCTTTTTAGCCTTCTTGCGTCCATTTTAAAAATTTGCCTCTCCGAACTCCTTCCATCGATCTTTAGTTTCGGCTATTTTTTTTTGTCGTATACCCACGTAATCCGTGATCTTCCTTTTGGCCGTCTACCTTTTGTAAGATCTCCAATGCTGACCAAGGTCTGGAAGACCATAATAGACTCTATTAAAAAGGTTGGGTTGAAAGGACAATTGTAACCTAGGGATGAGACACAATAAACCTCTTAGGTCCAGAGGAAGGGTTGAGGGTAGTAAAGCGCCCACTCATAATAAACCTTACCAAACCTATCCTAACTTGTTTTGTTAAAATGAATTGTTGTAGCTTTTTACGTTCTGGTAGTGAAGAAAATACAATCTCTTGCCTAGATAACAAAAACTTATTTTTCGATATATACGTTGGTAACCGAACTTTGGTGAACAAACCATACAGGCCATACAGGCTATATAGACCTGTTGCTGGAGTTACACAAAGATTTAACGAAGAAACGCTCAACACGCCGGAGAAAGACTTCTAGAACTTTGTTTAATGAATAACCTCCGAATTAACAACACATACTTGACCACCCAATACAACATAAGATCATCTGGTCAGATACAAGAGGACGTAACTCTAAGATTGACTACATTACAACAAACAGACAAATACACCCCAAGAATATAATAGATGTGCGCACTCTATCTTTCGCCAATGTGGGATTTGACCATGGTCTGGTACTAGGAAAATAAACATAGCAATCACCACACAAGGCAAGTGAAATACAAAAGTAGAAGATAACTTAGAAGATAAACATATAAAGCTTAGTAGAAGAAGGGACGCAAAACTTGTATAGAAATAGACTAAAAGAAAAGCTAAATAGCCATAACCTAGAGACTAAAAAGAATATAGAAGAAACCTGGAAAATTATTAAAAAATCTATCCTACAAGCAGCGGAAGAAGTTTTAGGTATAAGAAAAGTTAACAGAAATAAACGGAAATACAAAACTCCATGGTACGACGACCATGATATGGTACCAAAGATATGGAATACAACCTCTATGAATTCCAGAAAAAGGTTTGGCAGATAATAAGGAGACATAAGGAAAAAACAGAAATGAATGAATTTGTACGCATAGAGAACATTACGAAGGAACAATGGACTCAGCATTTTACGAAATTATATGGAGAAGGAGAGAAGAGAACAGAGAAATAATCATTAACGAAACCCACGATAGAGTAATAATATCAGAAGAAGAGCTACAAGAACGAATAAAAAAATTAAAAAAACCGAAAAGAACCTGGTCCTGATAGGATAAACAATAAACTGCTAAAATATGGAGAAACAACCTTACGAAAATATGGCTCCTAAAATTATTCATCGATATAATAAATACCGGAGTAATACCAGCGGAATGGAAAGAAAGTCTCCTACTACAGATATTTAAAAAGGGAGGCTTAAGAAATCGTGAAAATTATAGAGGCATTAGTCTGATGAATAGTACATTAAAATTGTTAACGGCAGTCATAAAATATAAAATCGAGGAAAAAGCGAACATGGCAGATGAACAACAAGGTTTTGGGAAGAACCTCAACACAATAGACGAAATTTTTATTATCAGACAAATAATAGAGAAGTCTATTGAATATGGAAAACCAGCATACATGTGCTTTGTAGATTTAAAAAGTGCTTTTGACAGGGTGAAGCGAAATGACATCTTAAAATTATTACAAGCTGATTAAATAGACCATCAGATAATAAAAACAATTAATGAAATTAACAAGAACAACCAAACCAGAGTTATAATGCCAAGAGGAAAAACATAATGCATATAATTAAAAGAAGGAATCCGCCAAGGAGACTCTCTTAGCCCATTGTTATTCAATATGGTGATGAATCAAATAACTCATGAAGTAAGAAAACGATACGGATACCACATGGGAACGCATAAAATCACGACACTATGCTATGCCGATGATGCAGTACTAATTGCTGATAACGAAGATGCCTACAAAGGCAGCTTTACACCTTCAATATCACAGCAAACAAACTTAGATGCATAGATGCAAAGTAGAAATAGACGGCAAAATTGTAGAACAAGTAATGAAATTCAATCACCTAGGAGTAGAGATCACTAGTGACAGGGACATATAAGAACAGAGACCACAAGGCAAGCATCAAAATCAGCAAGAGTAAGTGTTTGCCTCCGAGAAACCATATGGAGAAACAAATATCTGACCACGAAAAGCAAAATGAAAGTATACAAGACAAAAGTAAGACCAATCCTAACATATACACGGAGACAAGGACCGATACAAGAAAGACGAAACAACAAGTCAACAATATCGAAATGAAAGTATTAAGATCAATAGCAGGTATATCATTAAGAGACAGACAAACCAACAGAATATATGAACAATGCAAAATTCAAAATATTAACAGGTGGATAAAAACAAGAATAAAAAACTGGAACGAATTTGTAAACCGAATGGGACCAGGTAGGTTAGCGAACATCTGTAAAAACAACAAACTGTATAGCAGAAGGCGCGTTGGCCGAAGGTCGCCAAAAATGTGGAAAGATAATGTACATTCAACAACGACTGAAACAGAATAAGAGGCAGAAAAACATATGTTATCCTAGTCGCACGAAAAGAAGAAGAAGACAAACGAACCATTGAAATATTCCTGTTTGTATCAAATTTCCACACAACATTTTTACACAATAGAGTACAAAATATAAATGAAAGAATAACACAGAAATAAAGAACCTGAAAAAAATTATAAGAAATAATTATACCTGCACAATGTTCATATTTTAGAGTATGTACTTTTTGGTTTTAATAATGAATATTCTCGACCGGGTATCAATATAAAATGGTTAATAATGCAAGTGCTGCAACGAGAGAATGTCTACAAATTATAAACGATTTAAAAAGAGTACGGCATGCATATTTGATACCTATGACATTTGATAAAAATTTAACCGCAGCCCTTAATTGGATACGGTCGACAATTTCAAAGGGCTATAATAAAATAAAATTAGGAATCCGCTGCGATTTTAGAGAATATTAATTTATTGTGCATAGTCATCATTTATTCAATTACTAACTTCATCTACTTCCTAATTAATAGCTTCCAGTAATCGGGTCATTTGTTGTTAATGTAATAATTTAAAAACAATAAAATTGTTTAAATCACATAATTTTTAATTCGTATTTGATTTGTCCAATTAATAAGACTATCAAAACCATTTATAACTGACAATTAAGCTTATTTTATAATTAACACAGCTCTACTGCATTTAAAATAATTGATGTTTGCAAAATTGTACATTATTGTTGTTGTGGTTTATAAATCTGGTCTGCTATATTTCTTCTTTAACTCTAGAACACTAAGGATTCGTAAAATTTACGAAAGCTGATTGTTTTTTTTTAACACATTCGCGACCAACCGTCACACATGTGTGACGGTAAAGTTTTCGTGAGGACTGCTGACACATATGTGTGACACCGAACTTACGTGATGAAATGTAAAATAATTTACCACGGTTTATCACAGTGGGTCTAAATTGGCCACAGTCCACCTAAATAATCCTTCTTTCACACGCTATGGATGGGTTGTGATTTGACGTTTAAAAAAAGAGAAATAACCTGTAAATTTATGGAACGTAAATTTATAGAATAAAAGTTCACATCGATACTCCATACCGAGCGGACGTTAAATGGTTCTCTGTTATCAACATTCGACCGGTTTTCTCGATTTGAACAGATAAATGTGAAGTGATTAAAAAGCAATCAATTAGTAATAGACTTAAAAATAATAAACTCATCAAATTAAATTTAAAAACAATACAGTAATTTATTTATAATGTTTCCAACGGGAAATGGACCAGGATTCGACAACTACATAGTTAGCCAACAAATACAAAATGTAAACAGCCAGCCATTACCAATCCAGTATCCATCAACCAAATGAATTGTTACCCACAAATGCAGATTCCAAACAACACACAGGGTCAATCACAAATCAACAATATACAGGTTATCCACAAATCTCATCACAAATACCAGGTATGTACAATATGCAAATAAATCAACCAACCACTAATTCTTCGACGAATATGATATTTCCGCCCAATCAAGAACAATATATAAATCAACAAAACGCGGCACACAACAGCAATATAAATAACAGAAATAGCCAGCAATACTACAGAATGTCATCAACAAGCGATGACGAACCAGAAAGTGCAAATGTGTCAACAAATAACTCATGGCAAGTAGTTAAAACTACAAAACGCAGAAAAATCAGATCAAATGTAGAAACAGACAAAGAAGATGATACCATTACACTATCGAACAAATATAATACCCTAACGGATACCCAAGAAAATGAAACCAATCAAAATGAAACAGCGCCAAGAATACCTAAACCACCACCAATATTTGTTTACGATGTAAGCGACTTCCCAGAAATGAGGAAAAAATTTACAGAAATAGCTGAAGCTGAACAATACGAAACCAGAACTATGGCAAATAATACAGTCAAAATAATTTGTAGCGATCCAGAAATATACAGAAAATTCTCCAGATTATGAGAGAGAACAACATTATTCATCACACATATCAACCAAAGGAAGAAAGGGCCTATAGAGTCGTAATTAAATACCTTCACTATTCACATGCAACAGAAGACATCAAAGAAGAACTGACAAAACTGGGTCACAAGTAAGAAACATCATTAATGCTAAACATAGGATTACAAAAGAGCCGATAAATATGTTCTTTGTTGACCTTGAACCATCAGACAATAACCAAGATATTTATAAAATTCAGAAACTACAACACTGCAATATACAAATTGAACCACCTATAAAAAACAAAAATATCATCCAATGTATGAGATGTCAATTATATGGCCATTCAAAAACATATTGCAATAGACCATATGTCTGTGTGAAATGTGGAGGACAGCACAGTACAAGCAGTTGTAAAAAGAACAAGAACACACCAGCTACATGTGCTTTATGTGGAGGAGATCACCCAGCTAACTATAAAGGATGCGAATATTATCGTAATTTAAATAGAAATAAAAATATAGCACAAACTACATATAATCATCACCAAAATATGTCGCAAGCACGTAACAGAAACTTTATACCCAACACAGTAAGACCAAATGTAAGCTATGCTAATGCAGCGGGTAATAGACAACCTCCTGCTGCTCCTTCAGATAACCAAGATTCAAACACCATTCTTATGAAGTTTTTAGAAGAATTCAAAGCCATGTTTAATCAAATCTTGCAACAAAACAGCATGGTAATAAACATGCTAAGTAAACTCATATGCAAATAAAATTCTTTCTACGAATAGCAGAATGGAACGCCAATGGCCTGCTGAATCATAAGGACGAGGTGATAATATTTCTACAACAAAATTTTATAGATGTATTATTAATAAGTGAGACACATTTTACAGACAAATCGTATTTTAAAATACCTCAATATCTAACGTACCATACTAACCATCCAGACAAGACAGCCCATGGAGGTACAGCAATTTTGATCAAACAATCAATTAAACATTTCATGATGGAAAGTTATATAACAGACTGTATCCAAGCTACAGTAATTAAAGTGTGCTCATTACCTTACGAAATAACAATAGCAGCAGTGTATTGCCCTCCAAAGCACAATATTAAAAAAACCGATTTCGCATCCTTCTTCAATACTCTAGGTCCAAAATTTATCGCAGCTGGTGACTTCAATAGTAAACACACGTACTGGGGATCAAGATTAATAACAACAAAGGGAGAGAGCTTTATAGCTTAATGCAAGAAAATAAATACTCATATTTATCAACAGGAACACCAACGTACTGGCCAACGGACCCCAAAAAAGACCAGACCTCTTAGATTTTTGCATCATAAAAGGAATATCTAACACCTTTATGGACATAGTTCCAAGTTATGATCTATCTTCAGATCATTCACCAATTATTGCAACAATTAGCACCTGCGTTATTAACAAACAACCTACTCCAAAACTGCATGGACCTAGAACAGATTGGAACGTTTACCGAAAAATACTGGATGAAAACATTAAACTAAATGTAAGACTAAGAAGCCCTTCAGAAATAGAAGCAGCTACAAACAACTTTATGACATTATTACAAAACGCTGCAAAAGAAGCGACACCGAACGATGCAGATAAAAATAAAATCGAGAATAGAATAAATATTCCACTAGAAATTAAAAAGCTCATTGCTGAAAAAAGAAGAGCAAGAGCCAAATGGCAACAAAGTCGGAACCCAGCGGATAAAACGTTTTACAATCGCTTAGCCAATAAATTAAAAACACAACTAAAAATTGCAAGAGAAGAGTCAGTCAAAAAATATGTAACACAACTTAATAGATACGACCATTCAATATGGAAACCAATCAAATCATCCTTAAAACCTCAAGCAATATCGCCACCAGTAAGAAAAACCACAAACACACAGAACCAATGGCAAGAAGCGATAAAGAAAAATCCGAATTATTTGCTGAACATTTAGCAACAGTATTCCAACCACACAACAATGAAGAAGATCAAGAAATTATTAATTATTTAAACTCAGAACAACCGTCAGTAAATCCAATAAAATTAACAACACCCAAAGAACTTAAAGAAGAAATCTTAAAACTAAATATCAAAAAGTCACCAGGAATTGACCTAATAACTCCAAAAATGCTAAAGGAATTACCAAAAAAGGTATAGTGATCCTTACATATATATTCAACGCAATATTAAGATGTAATTATTGGCCTAACAATCTAAAAATTGCAGAAATACTTTTATTTCCAAAACCAGAAAGGATCCAAGTGAAGTCTCATCCTATCGACCTATCAGTCTGTTATCAACAATCTCCAAATTACTAAAAAACTTTTAATAAAAAGAATAGATCCAGGCCTTACAGGCGCAGACTGGATACCAAATTTTCAGTTTGGATTTCGACGAGAACACTCAACTATCCAGCAATGCCACCGAATAACCCATAAAATCAATTCCGCATTA